TTAGGAAGCAGTGAAACCTGGACTACAAGCAGGTTTCAAGTTCCTCTGTTAACAGGCATTCTACTTTCCCAGACTGTTTCCTCTAAAATAGCTGACTTGAGTTACGTGGTTGGTGGGAGGGAGGCTGAGGTGACACAACATCCAGTCTCAACTTCTCGTGCATTTTCTCCCTGAAGTGTGTCAAAGAGACGGAGTTGTGAGGGACTCAGTAAAGGTCTCACCGAATCTGCCCACTGGCTCGAGAGCTCATTCTCCCCAGCATAGGACATCCAGGCCTGGTTCCTGTAGGAGGAGGGTGGTGTCGGGATGAAGTAGCCAGTGAAGCCTGGTCTGTTGGCAGCTGGGATGGCGAACACGGCCGGCACCGTATTACCTGGTTGCAGAGGGAATGGACAGGAAGATTAGGCCAACACTCACCCAGTGGTGAACAGCTGCCTAAGTTCTAGGGGGAAACTGGAAAATGGGGGTAGATACTGGCATGGGGGGGATGAGATTATGGAGTGGGGGGTACACCTCTACCTGCTCATCCTCCATTCAGCTTGGAAGGCATCATCCACTGGCACTCGCACCTGGCTTTCTACAGGTGAAGGCTCAACTCCCCAGGCTAAGCCCTCACCAACTCCCCATGCTCATCACAACACCCCCTGACCTGCTGGCAAGAGGAAATGCCACCTCGGTGTTCAGGTGGTCTCTCCCCAGGAGGATAGGTATTTTTAAAGAGCTAAGTAAAAGAACCAGAAGGAATGAATGTTGCTGGTGTTATTTCTGGACACAGCAAATAGTTTGATGAGGTTGACAACTGGGTACTTGCAATTTTAGTCTAAAAGGTGTGGTTTGAATAAACCAAAAGCCAGTTAGGGCATGCACAAACCTTGATGTTCACGTGGGCTTTGTTTGTAATATGAAGGGGAGAGAGGAAGTGGAAACTACTGATGTGTCCATCACTGGGGTAATTCACCCCATGGGAGTTTAAACCAATGATTTCTATGTATGCAGCAACATACAAATCTTGAAAACAAAGTTGAGTTAAGAAGACAAAATGCACAAGGAAACGTACAGCTTGATATCATGTATGGAAATTTAAGGCACCGAGGGCATTAACATATCCTGTTGTTAAGGACATACATATACTGCGAAAGTTTAAAACCCAGCACTGGGGGACCCTAATTATCCCAGGGGAGAAGAGGAAAGAGATGGGGTGCAGAGCTGTGTGTAATGCTTCAAAGACACATATTTTTTTTTAATCCGTAAAGTCTGGCAAAATGTCAACCTACATCCTGACTAACACATCTTAATGCTTTGCTAGATTTCAGATCTTAAGAGTCAGTAGCTCTTCTAGCCAAGGCTACAGAAGTCAGGACGGGACTCACACCTGCTGGATTCCTGAGGGTGGAGGGTAGAAGGCCGAGTGCAGAGTCGGGGGAGGGGGCGGGCAAAGAGCACAGCAAAAGGTCCGGCGGTCGGGACCCTCACCCTCTCGCCCACCTGAGTAATTTAACGCAGACTGATCCAACTGGCCCACGGACACCGGGCCCCGGGCCACCTGGGCGAAGGAGGCGCTGTCGTGCAGCTGGGCCGGCTCGGGCCCCACCGACTCCGCCATCCTGGTCTTGCTGCCGATGTCCGAGGTGGACCTGGGCGGGGCGAGGGGCGCGTTAGCCGTGTCCCCAGCATCGCAGGGGGTGGGGGGTAAGGGGTGGAGGGGAGGCTGTAGAGGGGAGTGAAGGGGGGGAGAATAACCCCAGAGCTGCCCCTGGGAGAGGCGGCGGCTCCCCTGCTCTACGAGGGTGGGGCCTCAGGTTCGGTGTGCCCTCCGGTAACGACGGGGGCTACTGCAGCGGCCGTCGGCCGTCGTGGTGACCGGAGCTGCAGAGTTTAGATGTTTCAAGGTCAGTGGTCCCATGAGGTGGTTCTTGTGACTCTGGGGAGGAGCACAGTTAATTTCCACATAATAAGTCAAGCAGTTAGCGCTGGGTATTAGCCGGGGATGGTGGCCCAGGGAGATGATATCATCGGCAGCCAATGAGAAGGCTCGTCTGGAGAGCGCGGTAGCTCCCGCTCGCGACACCTGGAGGTGACTCAGGAAGGCTTTGGGTGCATCGCGTCCCTGCGGCTCATTGGGAGAGAGAAATACAAGCCCTGGGAAGGTCCGATGCCCCTGGGAAGCTCCGACGCCCCTGGGAGCAGAGGAGTCTAGCACCGTCAGAGCGTTGTGAGAGAACTTTGGCACTACAGGCAGGCAGGCAGTGTTCCCGCCCATTTAGCACATCCTATTTCCACTTCGTGTTCAGGAAGCCAAAGAAGAAGGTGCAGTCTGGGCTTGGCGGCCACCAGCATCTCCCCCTAGTATTTAAAGGACGCTTTAGCCACAGACTCTGGCTTTCCTTTCACAGACTCCAAGCTCCCCTAAAATTCAAATGGAAGGGAGGCAAAGGCAGCCACAGCAAGTGACCACAGGGACACTCTGAGCAGAAGGGAGACTGTGACAGCAGGAGCAGACCAGAACTACTCTGTGGAAGAGCCTGGCTGAGAGGCAAAGTCTGGGCTCCAGCTACCTCCCTTCCTGAGCCTCAGTTTCCTCTTCTGAAGCGAAAGGGTGAAAGAGCCTGTCTCCCAGGTTCTTCCCAGGTCTAATCCTCTGGGCTTATCAGGGACCTGATATTTGGCAAGGATGGCACTTGGCTAAGAAGGGCACCGGAGGAGACTGATGGTTGAGAAGCAGTGTCAGAAACATATGCTGGCTGTCAGCAAACCTACTGCAAAATTGCTGATGGGAAGGTCCTCCCATTTGGGACCTTGAGGAGTCACTGAGCAGCTCATGGAATGCTATTCCCCAGGGGAGGGGAAGTGCAGACACAGGGTGATGAAACTGCATGAGGCTGCTGCTAGAGATTCAGTACGGGGTCCTCCCTTCCCTGGCTCATCCCTGCTGCCCAACTCCCACAGCTCTCATGCAGTTCCAGAAAACCCTTCCCAGGAAAATTCCTGGATTCCCATGCATACACTCTGGTCCCCTTGGAGGAGCTCCAGAAACTGAGATCACCTGAGCTTTGCCCTCATCTCCCAGGTAAGGAAACAGGGGTCAAGCGGGTGAGGCAACAGCGGGTCAGAGGCAGGGAGATGGAGTCCTGGTCTGTTGCTTCCTGTCACCCTCAGCTTGGCTAGAGTTGCAGGCTCATGTCTACACAGGCTAGTAATGAGGGCAGGGTGGCTTCTGAGGAAAATCCAATTTTCCCTCACTGTTTTCAGGTGGTTCACAGATCCTCTGGGGTACAGCTCCTTCTCCCAGCCTTGGACACGATAATTATTCCAGCATCTCCCAATGCTCATGGCTTTTGTGGCTCTGGCCTATCTTTATTTAAACATGTGCTTTTTATATCATTACAGATCAAAGAGAATGCTAAAGATATGCTTCATAACAGACATATCTGGATTCCTTATCTTTCAGCCTCCTTATCCTAGAAGTCAAGAGCTAGGTGGTTTCCAGAGCACACCTCTCCCTGGCCTGTCAGATTTGTCCCTCTGCACCAGATGGAGCTCTGCACAGACCCTAGTAGGAGGCACCCAGATGTGAGGCAGCCCTGGTCATGGCCTGGGCTGGAGTAGTTTTTAGATGTTCAAGGTTGGAGTACAGGCTTCCAGGGTATGGGGCAGCTTGCTGACTGTGGGTTTGCTCAATTGTGGGTTCTACAGGACTGTCTAATGAAAATGACATGAGATTTAGCCAACCCTCTGTGATCCCCACTTCCTTCTTGGTACTAAGGTGTCCTAGGTACACGTTGGACAGGTGATATACCCTGAGTGGACCACCTCAGGCTGAAGGAAGTCTGTCACTCGGGGTACCCAGGACCCAATGCTTTTTTGCAAATATTTCAAACAAGGCAAAGGAATGTGTTACCGCCTGAGAGAAGTGACTGCTACAGGGCCAGTCCGAGGAGGTACAGGTGGCGGGGGAGAGCCCATGACCATTTCAGGAAGCTGAGAAAACCTGTAGGCCTGTGAAAGAGACAGAGACTGCTTAAAACCTAGACTCCATCAACACACAGATTCCTCTTTCTTAAAAGGGAAGCAAACTGGGCCTTCCCTGGTGGCTCACCGGGTTAAAACGCAGCATAAGCTATCTGCAGCCACTGCAGCACAAGTTCAATCCCCGGCCAGGGAGGTGACCCTTACGGTGCAGCAGACCTCTCCTGTGTCGCCTGCTGCTCCCCTCAGCAGTGTACTTCACCAGTCTTCCTGTTTTGCTCCCTACTCTGTCTCTGGTGAATCTTCTCACCCCCCTGTAGCTCTGGCCTGTACCCTAGTTTTTGTATGCATAAATAAATCTTTTAAAAAATAAAGGGCAGCAAACTTCATACTGTCAGACTTTCCTTCCTTCCTCAAACATTTCAGTCTCTCTGAACATGTTCCTTGCCTCCTCTTCCCCTCTGCTACCATTCTGTCCTTCGCTCAGGCCTCTGGAGTCCCAGAGCACTTCAGTTATCAGAACACACGAGTTCCTTCCACCTTAGGCTGCAGGTGCTATCCTAGGACCCTGGCTGCTTTTCTTCCATGTCTTCCCATGGCTCCTCCCTTCCTTTCACTCGCTGAACCCCAGATTCATGCCGAGTCCCATTGTATGTCTTCCCATGTGCTGGTTTATTTTCTGTCACAGTAGTTGTCTCTCTGGCATTGTTCTCATTTTTTTTTTTTTTTTAATTTACTATCTGCCACCAACTTACTGTACTGAGGACAGGGGCTCTGTGTCAGCTCTTTCCTCACACCTGGAACAGCGCCTGGTTTATCACAGATGAGCAACAGTTATTGGGTGCATGGATAAATGAATCTGTGCATGAATAGTGGTTTGCTTCCTTAGTCACAGAAAGAGGGCCTAGAGGGGGAAAACACTGGGTTCGGAGTGAGGAGGCACTCACTCATGGGTCGAGGTCCTGGTTATTGATGGATAGACTTATATCCCTAAGGAAGCCAGAGACCTTGCTGAACTCCAGTGTCTCCTTCTGAAATGGGGACAAGGATGCTTGCTCAGAGGTAAGCTGAAAAGATCAGGTGTATCAGGGTATGTGTAAGTATTTCACAATCTATAAAGCACTATTCAAAGATAAAGGATTGGAACTGGCTCGAAAGTGAAAACTTTAATCAATACATGCAGGGATAAAAGGAAATGGTCAGAGATAGATCAGAGAGACTTCTTCAGCAAGAAAAAAAATCTAGAAACTCTTAGAAGACAAAGCATAACCTGTACTTTTCATTCATCTTTCTCTTTAGGCATCATGTTGTGTGGATCCCTCAAGGAACAAGAAGACAGGCCTTTAAATTTGAAGACATCCAGACAAAAAGCATGGGCAGGGGGATTCATAAACAGGATTTTTTAAACTTAATGAGGTCTTCTCCCTTCAGCTTTATACAGACCACATACCGACGAGGACCAGCCCACTAAATAACAACTAGATCCTGATTAAAACACACAAACACACGCCCCCCCCAACTTAATGCACCTTGGAACGATATAAGGACCCTATCCACTCCCTTCACACACATACACGCACCCCTCAGGAAACGAAATAACCATGAAATCAAAGGTGGACATAGTGAGCAAAGGCGAGAGGTAGGGCTATTTTCCAGCTAACTCCACGATGGAGTTGTTCCTGTATTAGTTCACTGGATGAACTGATTAAAAGTTCTGGACTTTAGACAAGTATGAAGGGCATCCCATTCTTAGGATGATTATTCTAGGTACAAAGCCAGCAGTATTCTCGGGATCAACAAAATGCAGTGGAAGGGACATAGTGTCCCCTTTAGGTTGTATCCTTGGTGTCCAGGGAATTTCCAAAAGGGCAGAGGTAGCCTGTGCCAGCACTGGAGGGCTGAGGGCACCCCATGGTCTTCCCACACCCCCTGTATGCTCCCGTGTTTCTAAATGCCCCTGGCTTTGCATTCTGTCTCCTCTTCTCATACTGATTGTTTTGCAACTGGGACCCCACTGGAAGCTATTACCCAAACTGTTACCTGGAGGCAGGTTCCCAGTTCCATGATGGCCCAGACTGGCACATAAGGACACCACCTTTTGGGACCCTTGCCTTCTGGATAGGAAGGAGATCAGAGATTTAGAAATGAAGTGTTTAAGACAGGTCTCAGGTCTCCAAGGTGGCAGGAACCTGGGTGTGACTGGAATAGGACACTCTGGGTACATGAGTTTGGTTGTAAAGTAGAAGTTGACACCGTCTGTTCAAAGTTCCAGGCCCAATGCCCTTAGGTAGGGGGTGAGTGGGGTGCATTAGGGTCATGTTCTCTAGTGATTCCAGTAGAAAGTTAGCCCAGGGCCCTCCCTGGTGGCGAGTGGGTTAAAGCACAGCACAAAGAAGCCTAAGCCACTTCCGCATGAGTTCGATCCCCGCCTGCCCCGGAGGTGACCACATGGCACGGCAGACCTCTCCTGACCCGCCCGCTGCTCCCCTCAGCAGTGTACTTCGTCCATCTGCCTGTTCTGCTCCCCGCTCTCTCTCTGGTGAATCCTCTCACCCTCTGCATCTCTGGCCTGTACCCTAATTCTTGTGTGCACAAATAAATAAATCTTAAAAAGAAAAAAAGAAAGTTAGCCCAGATGAGACCCACTGTGTGTGAGTAACCAAGATTTCTTCCCACAGTTTCTTGAATAATTCAGAGCCTTCTCCTACCCCAAGAAGCAAAAGCATCCCACCTTCCTGCCCTAGAGAACAGGCCCCAAGCCTGTTCTTGTTGGAGTTTCAAATATAGAAAATTATTGAATTGTAAGAATTTAGGATTTTGAATGTCAGTAACCTTAATCCCAAAGTATTTAAGGCTTAACAGATGATGCCAAATAAAGAGATTTGGAAGAAAGGAGGTTCCAGGAAAGTGCTCTGCTGCTAGATTAGGTTGACACCTTCAGTTTGAAGGAGGAGAACATGGGAAGAACATGCTCCAAAGTTTTGAGATTGGGGTCCTCATCAGAGTTGGCAGGACATCCCTGTGGCTCACCTGGGGCCAGGGTGAGCAGGGGCAGAATGACCATGAGTTTTGAAGTTAGAGGGTTCTAGGTTCTAACCCCAGTTCAACCCTTTATTGGGTGGGCAAGGTTTTCCAGTTCCTCACTGAGTACATAGGGAAAACTATCAATATACTGACCTAATGGCAGTTTTTTTTTAAATATTATTTATGCATACAAGACTGGGGTACAGGCCAGAGATATGGAAGTGAGAGGATTCATCAGGGACAGAGTGGGGAGCAGAACAGGCAGATCAACTGAAATACAATGAGGGGAGCAGAGGACGAGATAGGAGAGGCCTTCTGTGATGTGTGGGTCACCTCCCTGGCCCAGGAGTGCTGCAAAGGCTGTGCATTGCTTCATAATGTCGCGTTTTGACCTTGTGTGCCACCAGAGAGGGCCAAAAAAAAGTGCTATTTTCTAATGACACCATCTTTCTAGCAGTTTTACTTCATGTCTGTCACGCTTATTCAAGGTGCACACATGGTTCTAATGACTACAGCATAGATAAACATTACTTTGATGCGCACTGGGAAACCATAAAATGTGTGCGACTCACTTTGTGGCTTTCTTCATTTTACTGTGGTTATCTGGAACTGAACCCACAGTACCTCACAGGTTAGCCTGTAACTAGTGGAATCCACTGAAAAGGAACATTTTTTAAAAAAAGTATTGATGATCATTTATCATGTAATCTGATGTATTGGACACCATACAAAGCACTCTCATCGATACTAACAAGTACTGTCTTACACAAATTCCCACTTCTTCACAGCACGGCCTCTTACCCCCACCACTGCATGGTCCTGAGTCGTGGTCACTGGCTAAGGCTGTTCAGCTGCGAGCCCCATTTTACTCTGGATTGTGGGAAAACCCAGGAATGTGGTCAACATGTGGAGATCACGAAGGAGGAAGCAATGAAACCCAAATCAGTGTGAATCAATATATAGCAGGGAGAGAGAAACTTTCCCAGGGGACCTAAGAGGTACTTATAAAAGTGAGAAGATTTAGGTCTTTTTCTAAATCTCAATGAGAAAGTCCCTTCTTCCCCAGAAGGGTGGAGACCAAATTAATGGGCAATTAGTAGAAAACTGTAATTGTAGAAATTATAATAGGACTGTCTGGGGAAGATATTTTAAGGAAGACTTGTAAGGCTCAGTGAGAATTTTTCCAGCTCTTTCTAAAAAAAGGATTTTGGATTCCAGACCAATGGATGAAAGGTATGGTCGGTGTGGTCCCAGAGCTGCTGACACTCTTCTGGAAGGCAAGGCTTCTTGAATGCATCCAATTTCTCTGAGAGCAGAGGCAAATTCCTGATATTTGGGTATTGCCCCAAACTCATGTATTTAACTGAAAAATTACATTAAGAACTCTGCATTGTGTTTACCCCCATCTCAGGAAATGGGTACAAAAAGACGTCCTGGGCTCATCCCATGTCCTTTCAGTGAAGGATCTGCATGTCACACACCGAAAAGATGATGTTAACAACAATCAGCTTTCCTTCTGACAATCTCTTACTTTGCCCAAATAGGCTTTTTTTTATTTATAAAAGACCATGCTGATGAGCAAACCTAAGTATTCTGATCACCCAGCTTCTCACCGCAGGTTTGTGAGTTGGTTTTCAAGCTGTTGCTGTGCACTTAATCAGCATGAGTCAGTACCTGGGTCTGATTGCCCTGAGGGAATGGATAAACTAGAATCCTGCACCTGCTGAATAAGGACAAATTCTTGCCATCAGGATGGCCCACTCAAGCATAGCAACCCCCACAGACTCAATGTGAAGTAAACACCAGCCTTTCCTACAAAGCTTAATTAGCAAGGAAAGGTGAGGCTGGAGACTGGAATGCAAAGAAAGAGACTTAGGGATCGGAAGCAGTGTCAAGGGGGAGACAGCTCGGTGGCCCTGCTGGGGAGAGGGGTTGACTGGGAGCAAAGGCTGTTCTCGGTAGTGTGCAGATCATGTAGTTACATAGAGTAACAGCAAATGTACTAAATGCCAGTGTAATGTGGACTTAGGGGTGGGGTATGAAGATACCACAAGGCACCCCAAATATGTATGTGTTCTAAAGAGTCTACTGCAAGTGAGAGAAATAGTACAGTGGACAGGCAACATGACAGCATGAGGCAGGACAGCAAGCAGATAAAAAATGGGCTGCAGGGCCAGTCGTCCAGGTCTGGGTTCTGGCTCCAGCCCTCCTGGTTGGGTGACTTGAACAAGTTAGAGCACATCAATTTCCTCATCTGTAAAATGGGGATCAAACTCGTACCTGTGTCAGAGGCTTGTCCTAAGAACTACATAAGTGAATTTATGCAGTTAGTACCAGTAAAACACCCAGTAAATGTTGGCCTTTATGATGTCATTACCTGTCACAACAATGTAGACAGCGCTGTGAATGAGGAATTCCTGGAGATGGGGCATGGAGCATTACAGAGGCAGAATCTAAGCCTGTATGAAGCATTGTCTACTGTGGCCGATAACTTAGAAAGCGACATCTTTACATGCAGATGCTGTGATGATGAGTGAAATGCAGTTTAAACTGTAGAAATCGTGGAAGCTTCCAGTCATTGGGTGTTTTCTTAGACAGTGAGGTTGGCTACCAATTAATGAAGCAATCATGGCTGATACTTCCACAGCATTTATTGTGCATGTGACACTCTTTTAGTACCTGTCATATACGACCCTGCTCAATCTTCTCAACCTAAAAAGTAGGTTGTTTTTCCTATCTCAGAGAGGACTGAGGAACCATTTCTACATTACAAAGGTAGTGTGAGCTACAGCTGGGATTCAAAGTCCAGCCACCCACTGTGGCTGGGCAGTGTGTTCTGGCACTGAAATGGGTCCTCATTCTTGGAAATGTAGGAAATCACTGGGCTTAAAGAATGAGGTCCCCTTCATCAGAGGATAGTAGAAAAGAAAATTCGTTCTAAATGCATTATGGTTGGGCCCAGGGGCTTTCTGTTTACCTGTGCCCACGAGACTGAATGGCTTAGGCTCAGACCACTGGTGCAGGTCTGAGCAAAGTTCATGTCCAGATCTCAAGGTGGCTTATTACTAGAAGTTTCCACTCTGAGAACCCTTGGGAACACCCTGTGGAGGGGCAGGGGGCTGGCCTGACGTGGTGGTGGGCAAGCAGGATGTCTCACTTACCGGCCGGGGCAGACTGTACTGGTACATCTCTGGGCGGTAGGTTGGCACCCACTGCACCCCGGCCCTGGGCCGCGTCATGGTCCCTGGAGCGCTGGTCACCACCTCGGAGTAAGGCAGGTGCTGTGCTGAGCCATAGGCCTCCTGGTGCCGGCTCTGGCCCGCGTGGCCGGAGGACGCCAGGCTGAAGGCCTCCTCCAGCAGCATGTGCATCTGCTGCCTGACCTCGTCGATGGATGGCTGGGAGCTCAGGGTCGAGGTCTCCGAGTGGCCTTTCACCTGCCTGGCCCTGGCGTAGGCCCGGGGCTCATTAACTCTGTCCACGTTGGTTTCCTCTATGATTTCAGGCTCAGTCTGTGGGATCAAACACATGCCCATTGATTTGTTAATTAACTTTCCTTCATGTTAACAGTAATTTATTCTAAGATATTTAGCCTGAATAGGTGATATTAGGTGACACAGTCAAGTTGCCGTGGCAACTGGCCAGACCTAAAAGGCAGGTGGAGAATAGCAAAGACAGCGTAAGAGATGTTCCAGCTATTTAATTTTTTAATGTGTCCGTTTCCTCATCTGTAAAATGAGGATAGTACCAAGACCCATCTCAAAGGGTTTTGTTAAAATTGAATGATATACGTAAAGCATTCAGAACAGCAGCACATGGTAAAAATACAGCAATACTAGCTGATGTCATTATCATAATCACTATTATTACCATGACATACATTTCTCATGGAATTACTATGCACAAAACACTCAGGTATATAAAAGTGAGCACAGCACATACTCATTCAATCGCACAGATTCCCCACGAAATCCCATGAGCTGAGGCAAAGTCAGGAGGGAACTTGTTCCTAAAGGGAAGCCCTTTGCTTCTTAAAATCTGTACACAGAGCTCAGAACTTTTTTATTTTTTCATACTTCACATTTATTTCTCTTTCTCTATAATATATGCACATAGGAGAAGAAATTGAAAAGACAAAGGGCAAAAAAAACTCGCCACTTTCTGTCATCTTCCCCCCAAGAATTATGGCTTTGCAGTCATTCAAGATAAGAACAAGAGGTTCTCTGTTAACCTTTGAGTCTAAGTTATCAACAAACATCTTCAGAAAGCAATTTAGAACACTGGTTTGATAGTTAAGACAAGTGCAGATAGAGGACAGAGTAGAAGACAACATCACCTATGAATAATAAACAGGAACTCAGAGCCATTGCATGGCTGGCGTACGCCCCCAAACCCTGGCCTGGGGACACAGTGGGGTTCTTAGGCTGTTAGGGGTTCTTTAGGGACATGATCTCCCTGAAGACCTGGTGGTGCTTCTAGGATAATGGATGCAACTTCTGGGGAAAAAAAAAAATCTTCACAATGCTTAGAATATTCTGAACTGAATTTCAGAGCCTGAAGGAGCTTTAGGAGACCAGTTTCTTCAAGCCCATTTTATAGAGTCAAAAGTGGAGGCCAGAGCATCTGAGTGCCTTGTCCAAAGTCACCCAGGGGCCTGTTCCTGGCATGTCCCACTGCTCTGCATTTCCCCTTACTTTCCTCCCCAAGGCTGGTTCCTGCCCACACATGCCCTGCCTCTGTTCATCCTGAGGATGAAGTAAGAATCCATGAGTGCTTAATACTTCATTAGTCTCAGGCAGGAGAGCCAGGGCACTGGGCCACACTAAGATTGTCCCAACCCCCGAGCTGTGCTATGAATTTCCAGTTACACTGGTGGATCCCAGTTATACTGGGATTTACGGCCTTTAGTAGGACGGAAACAGCCTTCTGAGCAACATCTCCCTACTCTCCCACTTCTCAGGGGCCTTGGGATGGGACTGTGCTGGGTTGAGGGGTTTTCTGAGTAAGGTTGGTGGGAACATGGAGAACATCTTTTTTCCAGGCATTCACTGCCATCTACTCACAACACCCAAGTGGAAAATAACCTCTGCTTCCCTCCACAGTGTTGCCTAGAGGGCTCCCCTTAACTGAAGGACTCAGTCACAACCCAACTATGACGTGAACAGGTTTGCTCAAGTCTCCTTTTGAAGAACTCCTGTGACCATATTTCTCACTTGGTTTTTGCAGTCTCCCAACATGGACAGATGGAAACAAGATGAGTGAGGCTCTTACTTACATTTCTTATTTAATGTCATACCTTGCCCAAGTCTGAACACTCCTTGAGCCATCTCAGCGTCTATCTCTTGTGAACTTGGCCGAGGGCACCTGGTATTCAATAAAATGTTGTGAAGTTGAACTCAAAGGTTCTAATTCAATCACTTAGAACGTGGAGACTAAGGTAAAAAAGTCCCCGTGTCCCCTAGCAAATATCCTCGGTGCAGGGAGGAGCTGGACCACAGGCAAGTTGTTGGAAGCCCCTGAGCCTCGGGCGCCTCAACTGTAAAATGGGAGTGTTCCAGATGGCTTAATTTGTTTGCCTTTCTCCCTGGTTAGTGTATTTCTGAAAATACTTTTACTTGACAACAAATGGGGAGACAGGAATGAAAGTAAACCTCCCAGTATTAGTTGATGAATGGCTGGGGTACACTGTCAGGGGCTGTAGCCCGAGCCGAGAATATAGCTTTAAATCTTTTTAGCTTGGAATTACCACACCTGCTTCTTTAACACTGTACTCCTGAAAAGCATGGGGGGGAATATTTAAAAGAACTATTTTATAAATTAATCAAGATATGCTTCCATAAAAATTCTGAAAAATTAATCAAGAACATCTGTCATGGTAGGAAATTTAAAAAACACAGATAAGCAAAAGACAGAAAATTAAAATCCACTCTAATCCTAGCATAAGAAATAACTACTGTTAACATTTTGACCCTCATGAATGTTCTTCTAGATGTTTCTATGCATATGAAATAGGAAGAGGATTATGAATGCTAGACCATTTCCAACACCCTCCCCCTTGCTGCCTCCCCTCCCCCACAGAGAATTCTGGCTGGGTTTCTCCCCTCCTTTCCTTCCCAGGAGGAACTACTCTTCAACACAATTTTTCTGGCTTTGTGATAGAGAATAAGATGTGGGGAGTGCAATGAGGCAGAAGGGGTGTGGGCTACAGGATTTTTTTGGGGTGCAGTTTTGGAAAAAGAGGTACAAAATTAAGGGACAGGTATTAAAGGCATGATGTAATAGACTTCAGGTATATGAAAATACATATAAAGATGTAGATGTATTTTTAAGTTGCTTTTGCTAACATAGATACTCTTAGAATGAGCTATCTGGGTCATGATTTTATAAATAGAATATACACCTCCATATGTATGCACACACATACACACACATATAGGTAAGGTATTTAAAATAAAATTAGATCATATGTAATATTTTGAATCTTTTTATACAATAGTATGAATAACAAGATAGGAAAGAGATTGAGAAAGAGAAAGGTAAATTATTATAGATTAAATTGTATTCACCTCTGCAAGCTCTAAGCCCCAGGAACTTAAAATATGGTTGGATTTGAAGATCACATCTTTACAGATAACTAAGTTAAAATGAGTTCCTTATACTAATTCAGTATGATTGGTGACCTTATAAGGAGGGGGAAATTTGGACACAGACATGTAAAGAGGGAAGAAAATATGAAGACAAAGAAGACAGCCATCTAGAAGCCAAAGAGAAGCCTAGAACAGAGCCTCCCCTCATGGCTCTGAGAAGGAAGCAGTGAGGGAAGCCAAAATACCTACTGCTATTTTGATCTTGGCCCTCCAACCCCGAGAAAACCAGTTTCAGTGGTTTTAAGTTGTCAGTCTGTGGCACTATGCTATGGCAGCCACAGACGACTTGCATGTGAACCACGTGGCTGAGCCCATTTGTCAGGGCTGGGGCTGCAGAAGAGATCATGTAAGAACTTAAAGGTCACAGTAAGAAGGTGGGATTATTTTTAAAGGTCAGTGGGAAACTCCTGAAGAATGTTAAGCAGGGGAGAATTGTGCTTGGAATTCATGGGAAGTCCATTCGATTATTCTTTTATGAGAAATCTGGGTAAGAAAAGTGGGCAGGAGTACAGATTAGGGCGATTATCATGAACAAAGACGACATGGACGAGTTCAAGAAGTATTTTAGAAGAGGGCTGACACAGGCCTTGCCGACGTATGGCATACGGGGTGAAGACGAGGAAGAAAGCACATGGAGACCTTTTCCCGAGAAGGGCATCTTGAACACGGGTCTCCTTGATGTTCTCTGAGCCACACTGCAGGCAGCATCCTCTCTGGGTTCACGAGCTGCTCCTCTTGCCTGATGCTCTCCCTGGCCTGGCTTCCACTCTCATTGCAGGTCTCTGCTCTGAAGTCACTTCCCCAGTGAGTTCACTTAGTTTAAATCATGATATCACACAATGTGACACAATTCCTGATAGTGCTGAGACTTCTAAAGGGCTGGGGTGAAATAGAAACCTAAGAGAATAACCCTCTCACCTGGAATCTGTGAGCCTTAGTCCTACAATTGGTAGTCACTGTGCATTTTTCTACGTGCCTTATGTGCATGAACTTATTTAATTCTCACAATAACCATCTGCGTGACACAGGTACCATGTGTTTGTCCATTTCACAGATGGAGAAAATAAAGGCTAACAGTGAATTAGCCCAAATTCAGGTAACCAGTATGTGGCTAAGCTGGAATTTGAGGCAGCCTAGCTCCAGAGGCCAAGAGCATAACTATTCCAAAGCATTGCTTGGGAATGCTGAGAATAACACATGAGCCAAAGTCAATTCATCAAAAAGACCTTTCTAGAAGGAACACCTGAATGTAAACACTTAAAAATGGCTTTCTCTCCTGGGAGGCTATTTTGTTCCTTGTGTTTAAGGTGAGTCATCACCTGCCTTTCCCCTCTTAGCTGAGTTGGCACTGCAGGGAGTGAGACATCTGCGAAGCTCAGTCCCAAGCGTCCACACTATTAGATAACAAAACCAGCTCTCCCCACCACCAAGTCAAGTTCTCCCTCTTTCTCCTTTCGGCTATTGAAAAAGTCAGACAGACTCACACAGGCCCTCTCTGTTTTTCTCTCTGCCTCTAAAACAACCTCCAGCTGCAACCAGAATGACCTACACCCACAAGGAACAGTGTCCGCTGGCTAGTCGCCACCCTTGTCTCTCCCTTTATGGAAGGTCGATCAAAGACGAGGGGCAGACACTGGAAGAAAGGGTGACATGAAGGATTAGGATATGGCTCAGAGAGATGAATCGGCCCCGTCTTTTCAAGACTCAGCTCCAGAGTCAACTCTTCTGGTTGACTCACTTGTTGGTTCATTTACTCGACAAATGGAAGCACTGCACCCATGTAGGTGCTGGTTCTTTTTCCAAGCGCTGAGGTTTCCAGAATGAATAAAACATGAGACCTGTCCTTGAGGAGTTGAACGGGAAAA